AAGCAGCTGATTGCGAGCATGCAGCCTACATTTGCTTACTCTACCACACTATGCAATGTCTATTACTGTCTGTACTTTAAGTCTGTAGAATGTCTGTACTCGTTAGCCTATCTGCATTTAGTTTATAGTCCTATGCCGTGGCCGCGGGTTCTCCATGAAATTTGAGCCTAGTTTGTGGCGTTTAGTAGGCTCGTTTATAAATATATTAATTTATCCTCGTACGTGGGGGCCTGCAAGCAGAGACCCAGTTACTATGTTGTATTGAGCGTAGTTGTCCCGCTACAGTGACTTATTTTCGGCCTGCAGTTGGCCGCAGATATGCCGGCCAAGAGGAAGGGCTGCAGTACATTCCCGTCACAGCTTCTGCGCGTCTGAGGAGTAAAGAGAAGACGAGTTACTTTACCTTAATTGGAAATTCGATTTACCAGCACTCCACATTGAAATTTAACGCCATTTAATTTGAAATATTAACGCGTAAGGCCATTTTAGGTGGATAAAAATCTTTACGCAATTATACTTGCATTTCGCAGGTTATACTTACATTCACTGACGGCGGCCAGCATCTCCAAATTGCTGTTGATAGGCTGGTCCCTTATTAACTGTTTAGTCAGCGAAACATTTAAACGAGGCCCTAATATCGGGTGAAGTTCCACATACCGCCGCCTCGCGTTTATTAACCAATCGTTCACCTGGAGAGCAAGCAAACTTTAATAAATTTCTATCTGTGTAATCTCTTAAAATATTGGGAAATGTTAATGAACGATAAATAGCGTCCGATCAATGATTCTTACAAATATTTTCAGTCTAAAATATCTGTTTATTAAATCATCGTGTTTCCTGGAAGATTAGTAATCCTAAGACTATATTTTATGGGTAAGATATTTGTTAGCTTGCACTAATATCTGCAATACAAGTGATCTTAATTTCGGGCTTACCTGCCTCATGTTGAGCCCCGCCTCCTGCGCCAGCTGTAGCTTCTCTTCGGTGCTTGGATAGCGCGTGAAATTCTGAGCAAAACGATTTTTCAAGATTAACTTTGCATCTGGATTCGACGAGCGTCCAGTCTTCGCAGTGGCGACTTCACTTTTGCCTGCAACAAACACAAGTGCCCGTTAGTATAGTGATGCCCCCTCGGGTGGAACGTCGGTCGCTAACTTTAAGATGTGATCGGAAATTCGATCTCGCCTGTCTCGGGGTGGGCCCCGTACGTGGGTTGCTTGAGCTAACTATTACCTTTATTGCTGGGTTAACGTGTAAAGTTCTCCGCAAACCGATTCCTCGTGATAGATCATGCTCCTGGACGTGCAGCAATCGCTGAATTTTTGCATGGGGGCAGCAACCTCCTTTTCGCCCTGCGAGAAAAGAGTGCAAGCAAACACGGTTTTAAGTATTGCTACCTACCCGAATTGAGATTTGATATCCTTCAATATTTTAATATGATGTTGGACTAATGAAATAACGAGTAATCCAGTCGTTCTAATGAAGAGAAAACGCAAGGAAGTCTGAAAGATTTATACTTTGTAATAACTTCCATAACGGAAATATTCAATAAATTCGAATAAACATGCCGATAAAAACGTGAACATTCAGTTCACAAACGTGCGATACTTCTCATGTCTGATATAATATCAGAATTTCATAGACTTGCTTCTATGAGAAATAGCTGTACAATCGTAATTAAACTACACGAATGCTACTTTCTTCTTGCTTTTGAATTTAGCCAATGACGTCGCAACTTCGATCTCGCTAGCCGCAGGGTGATCCAAATGTGCGCACCGACTGATCAATTCATACCTCGCTGCTTGGTGTGCGGAAGACTTTTCGTAAACCAAAATGTAAACATGGACTTGGTTTTTCGCCTCTGTGTTCGGCCGACCATTCCGTAACGTAGATTTCGAAGGTGAGCTAAAGGAGTGTTGGTTAATAGTTCCTTTAATTAAGTTGATGTAGGTGTTCACAAAATTCTCACTTCTCCAATTAATTATGGGACTTATCATGATTTCAGCACTAAAACGTCAGGATTTTAGCACTTTAGGGACTGCACATGCAAAATCTCTGCAGAACTTGTGCGAGGAAAACCTGCTGAGGATTTCAGCCCTAAATAAACGCTGGAAAGGACAATTATGAGCCAATTACCATCATTACTGCCATGCAGTGCCGACACTGGGAAACCTGTAGCATCAGTAAACTGTTTGTGCTTCAAAGGCTCGTTGCAATTACCCAAGGCCGTGTCCACCAGTAATTGAAGACTGTTGTAGTCATGTGTAGGTGAGGATTGCAGGTCAATATCCATTGTAGTCCCTGTCATGGCTCGGTCCTCTAACTGGTCGGGACTTGACGAATCATCCATAGCCTGGAACGATTGATTGGTGATATTTGCACAATTATCGTTGATTAGGAAACCATCTTGATTATTTTCGACGACAGGATATCAATGAATGCCATTAGGAATGACGGGCCCATTTTCAGTACGCAAGTGATAAGTCCATCCCGTGGTGATAGCCGTCGAAATTGTATTGTGCAGATTTTTCTGGTCTGTAGCAAATAAAGTTCTACTTATGAGGTGCGGTGGGCGATTGCGAAATTTTACTAAAGTTTAACATTTGGTGGGGTAGGCGGTGGTGTAGTGCCATTTTTAGTTCTGACCATTCCGTAGGGACCTGCAGGGAGATATCCATACGAATCAACTAGATCAGAATGCGGGAGATATACATTTCTTCCCTTTGGAACTGCGGAGACGGGTCTGGTGTACACAAAATTGCTGCATCTCTAGCAATGAACGGCGCTGACGGCGATAGGCATTGAGATGGGCCACCCGAGTAACATGTCGAATATGTGTTCATTCCAGGCATGTCCGCGATGTAAAGCTCGCTGTATTGCAACGACAGCGGCAAAGTACGGCTAAGCTGCCTCTGTTCTTCAACCCAAGCAGGAACACGGTCCGCTGGATCGAATGTTTGCTCGCTTTTCCATTGAGACGATTGATATGAGTAACTTGGAATACTGGGACGATTTTCGTCCTCTCTCGAACCATTCCTAGTTGTTGCTAGTCGACGACCTTGTTCAAACTGACCAACGTTCGTCGTTGAAACCTGCGGAATCGGATCAAGATTCAGATTTTGGGCTCGCGATGGGCCAGCACGGTTGAAAGTCACCAGTCCCAGGAGGGGATCGCTTGGACTTGGGGTTACCCTTGCGAGTTACGGTATAATTCTCAGGAGAGCAGCCTTCTTACTGCTACATTCTCGGCAATTGGCAGCGATGAGTGTTAATGAACCAATTGCAAACCTGCAACGAGAAAATTGTTTTAATAGAGATTCATTCAGATCAAATGATGAAATACATTAGAATTTTCTAAGGTGACTTCTATTTCTATCAGCTGATTCTGTTGTTCGCAGAAACAAAAACATGCCACGATTTAACTTTTATCTCTTGCATTTTTCAAGTTTAAATAGAAAAAATTTAGTCATTTACCATCTCAGACCGGCGTAAATCACATAATGGCCCATCCAAACTCTACAATCTATTTGATCACACGTTTAGAAAAAAAAGATGCTCATGGATCAGAATATTCTTATCCATTGCCATCTATATCGGAACCTTCGTGCTCTTAAGCTGCAGAACTGTATATTACTTCTAGTTAGTTCCATTTTGATTGTCGATCATTAAATAGTTTTTGATCAGAGTACAATCCGACTGCAACAGCCTAATGAAAGAATATATACAATATTATGATACATTGTGGAAACTTGAGTTGATGACTGCCGGGAAAATAATTATTTAAAATTTGGTGATCTAGAAAGAGACTGGCAACAAATAAGTTCTAAATAGACGAGTTGCCGCCGGCAGCGTCATAATTTATGAGCCACCCATATTGTATCAATTTATGAAGGAAAAGATACGAGGAAAGGATCACCAAATTGAACCATCAAGCCCTCAAAGGATGTTTCACAACCCCTGTAAATTCTTGACACCACAAGTCACCTATGGTCAAGTCCGCCAGAAGGAGGAAGTAGCTCGTGTCTTCGGGAGGTGGAGGCAGTTGGACCATATTGCCTGAGCTTCCTTCCAGGCGCTGCCCTCTTCTATGCACGACACGATGAGAGTACTTTATTACACTAAGACATCATTCATCACTATTTACGTAATAAGACAGAGCAACCTAATTCAATACCTGCGCAAGAGTCACCCCTGCCTCGCAAACAAGGGCATCTTTCTCCTCCTCCGTGGGGTACGGATGGTGGCGATGCTCCGTCAGCCACGCCGTCAGGACGGCCTTGGCCTCTGGCCGGAGGTTTGGCCTTCTTTTTCTGGCGACGCCGTTGCCCTCGGGTGCCTCCGTTGGCTGGACGATGTTGCGTGTAGCGGCTGCGAAAATCAGATAACTTCAGTGTAACTGAAAATTGAAGATTTTGGTGAGTCTGGCAATTTGAACATTTATTCGACCAAAATTAAATTCTGAACTTGCTCTGTATTCACCGAATTCATTCTGCAACCTAAAAACATAAAACTGACCACTTCTAAAATTCATTGAAACTGAGGCCGCGCCTTCAGGAGATGAATCTTCAAAGTCCTGCGAGCCGACGGCCGAAAATTTGTGACGGGGCATTGTTTAATGGGGCGATGATGTGATGTGAGCAACGATGATGGAAATGATGGCAAATTTATTCCATTAGTCGATCGAGACCTGAGGATGTCAGAATAGGGAATTAACACAAGTTTATTGATGGATTGTGATGCAGAAGGTGGTGTGAATAGTAATTTGGACAAAGAATGCCAGGAATTTTCGGTAAACAGTTCCCTGAAACAACAATTATGAATATATGGAATACGCAGCTTACCAAACGAGTCTGGATTCTCTCCTTTTACCGCAGTTACAGGGGGCTAACACCAACGAGGACTGCTCCAAAGAAACGACAACCAAACTCCGAGAAATAATGAGATCAATCGATTTTTAGTGAGTATCTGAAGGTCGTAGTCACAACTCTACAAAATTATACATCCCCAAAGATCTGCAAACCTGCACACACGTGTGGCTGCGCATTGATCGAGTAAGGAAGCCCCTCGAAGCACCATACACCAGACCTCGAAGCACCTCGAAGCACCATACACCCTTGAACAAACGGTATCCATTGACCGACTCAAATCAGCGTATGGTCATGCACCTCAAGATTCAAAGCTAAACAAAACTCTTCAATTGACCTGCCGAAGCAAACGGAGCAAAAATCAGCCTACTACCCGCCAGTGACCGATGCAGTTTCTGAACCAGAAAACCCGGAGCAGACCGCTCCAGGGACCATTTCAGCTGTCACACCACAGCGAACAACTCGCTCAGGTCGTCGAGTCAATTTCCGCCCTAAAGCCGATTTTATATATTATTGATCATTATGTCTCCGACATTTGGCGGGGTACTACTGTGGTGTTAGACATTTTGCGACTTCTATTTGTAAGAAAATTATAATTTACTTCTACCTTGGCAACATCGTTAGGAAGTTAACGTCGCGCACACACTTTTCTCGTTAGACATTATCGTTCGGCTGATCCCCGCTGCAGGTTAGTTTAAGCTCTAATAGGTTACTTTTTATTGTCTGAATAATTGTTGTATTATATTATAATTTCTTTATTCATCTTCAACGAGGATCATTTATTAGATTTGTTCTTCAACAGATACGCACGTTGCCAAGGGTATTTTTCTTTACACTATTTTTCCATATCGTAATATTTATATTCAAAGCCCACCTTGTTATTCATTTTTACTGCATTAAAATATCTCAGTTCCAGTCTCTTTCATTTACCATCCTGTTGGTATAACTGTGTGGGTAATGACAGGCACTTACCCCACAAGATATCCTGGAATGTGGTTATAGACCTGGACTAAAGATTTCGGTACAGTAGACCCGTACATCGTTGGCTTTTCAATTCTAGTTTGTATTTACCTGGAATTAGACCAACGAAAATAATGGCAACACTAAATAGTGATTTACCTAAATCACGATTTCGTATGGTTTTCCTGCAACTTTCAAGTATTATTGAGTTAATTTCGATGTCATTTACTGTTCACGAAATACTTGATCAAAATTTTTGCTGATCTATGACCATTATTTATCAGAGAAAAAAAGTTATTTGGCGATTGTACAAAGTCAATAGAACTAAAATAAAGTTACAAACAGCGTATGTAGAAAAGTCTTGTCGCTAAGTATCAGAGAAGCGTTCCAATCAAATAAATCTTTTGAAGTAGCAGCGTCAAACTATAGACCAATAGGAGTTAGAATATGATGAGATTTAATGAAATAACACTTCACTAACTAACGTTCTATAACTCTTCTCAGTAGAAGATTGCTCTGTTCACCGTCACGTAACTACTTTATATTTTCCACTAAATACAGTTTCAAATTTAATGCCTTTAAACACGCGTTAAATATACAAATCTCAAGGCCTCTTTACGTCACGCCACGTGGACACCCAACACGTGCGCTTCACGTCTGAGTGCTCAGCCTAACGATGCTCACCTGACGACAGCGAGCGTAGACTGCAACTGAGCCCCCGGGGGTCTATAGGCTTACAGGCGTCAGACAAAGAGCGGACTGTGTGACATTCTACTTGTGTTGAGATCTCCAAGCATGCCATTCCTGCCAAATGTTTTGCATCAAATTTATTCACGAGTTAGAATAATCAGTGGTTCCCAAACTTTTTTCAGGCTGGTGCCCCCTTTGACTCCCCAGTGAATCTCTAGCGCCCCTCTCCCCAACAGACACTTATAAAAACAAACGCCTCTTTTCTGATATTTAGTACGCTTCACAAATATTTATTTCTGATATTTAGTACGCTTCACAAATTGAACCCCATTTAGTAAACAAATATATTTTTTTACAGTTTAACTGTTTCAGCACTAGAAATTCAAGACGGCTCGGGCAAATTTAGGGCCGGACTCGTGGCCGGTCTCACGGCCAATCTCCAAATTCAGTGACCAAGAATATTTCCCAAACTAATGAACGCAGCTCGATAAAACTTGGAACACGTATTCACTCTAACAGTGATGTTTAGCTCGTGAAAAATGTTTAAATTTCACCTTCATTCGGGAGTTATATGGAGATACCGGCCGAAATTCGCAGTGATCAAAGAATGTCTTCCAAACTACTGAACAGATTGGAATGAAATTTTGAATATAAATTCTTAGTAATAATTCCTATCACCGTTAATAATCGGTGATTTTTAGCTCGTGAAAATTTATTCGAGTCGGAATCATGTGCTGCATGTGTTGTGTACAAATCGTCGAACAAACGTACGAACTTCGACTTCGCGGACTGCCGCCCCCCTATTGCCCCTTTATTCCTCACCGCCCCCCCCCCAGATCTTTCCACCGCCCCCAGGGGGGCGATATCTCCCACTTTGGGAACCACCGAGTTAGATGAATGATATTCGCCATCCCACTGAATGAGGAGTGAACATAACGAACAAATGAACAGTCAAGGCTATAATTCGCTAGTTATCATCTGACATACCGCGACCCAATCAAATAAGCAAAGAATGATACACGAATTAAATAAGGATGAAATATAACTAATTAAAATGTAACTTTCATCAACGTTATTCTTAGTAAGTCAATCACAGTCATTATGGTATCATAATATAGTCTCTGGAATAAATGTTAAATGTAACATTGTAACCTTTACAATAAAACGATGCCCTGATTCACTGAATTCATGTAAAGCATTTTAAACCTTCCATACTGCAACCTTCCTTGCTCCCGTTAGTGGATCATAATCACTCAATAATTACCTGCTATTCTTACGCTACAATAAATAACTTGTATAAGCTGAGTTTGCGCGGCGGAAGCATAGAGATTTTTCCAGATCAACTGTCGGACATCAGGAGTGGGTCAAAGTTACTGAATTGCAATCGAGGAAAATTTTTGAAATAATCTTTCCTCTGTAAAGGTCCTTTACGCGGACCATTTTAATGGAGCTTACCTAAAACCACGTGGAGGCCATAGGAGATAGGACATCTCAGACCGTTCTTTATTGACAAACTTTATAATCTCCTTAATTGAGGGCAGCTTCTGTATCTAACTGATACACTCTGTATCTACTGACAGATTTTTCTTGGACTTCATACACATGTGTAAAACACTAATACAAGAATTTTCTGAGGAAATGAAAGGAAACGTGAAATGAATAGAAAACGAGGAAAAGGGGGACTTTTATAAATATATTGTATTATTTGATCTACGAGCTACAAGACCGAGAGACGTGTCACTCGATTTGTAATTCAAATATTTAGCGACTCTAGAAGCCCTTCTCTCAAATTTCTTAATGGAATTTCTTAATTTACCTCCCTCCTCCACAATATCCTAACGTTTTTATAATATATAATCTAAACAAGAGGTCAATCATGAAAAAAGGCTTCTATAGTCACAAGATATTTTCCCAGTAAATCGAATTATATGTCTCTCGATGGTGTAGCCCGACAATAATAGCTAGAGCGATGGCGCATCTTGGAAGTTTCAATTTTTCAGTAGAGCCAAGTAAATAAAATTGATCGAAAAAGAAGTAAATTAAAAATATGCTTGATACTTTATCCTCAGCTTTCTCATCGCCCATTTCTCGTATTGAGGTGACCACCATGCTTATTGTTGTCCAGTTTAACGCGAATAATAATGTACCAATGTGAATTTTCATAAATAATTTCTTGCAAAAAATTGTCATAAAGAGGTCATTTTATGCAAATTATAAATTGCCTCACGCAAAAACTAAAACACACACGTACTAAAGCACGGGAAGACAAATTTTTCT